GATACTCAGCTTCTCTTTACTTTGTGTTTTGCATACTAAAATAGGTTTAATTTTTTAAACTTCTGGCATAAAGTTCCTGTGTCAATTGAATGAGTTAAACTACTAAGCACAGTGCTTAGCCCTGTTTATCACTATCATTAAGAAGGTATGGAGGAAATGTGTGGGTGCAGAGGAAGGTGCATCTGATTGCTTGGATGAGCAGAGGAAGCTTCAAAGAGGAGGTGACATTTGATTTGCCCTCTGAAAGATGAGCAGAAGTTCAGTAGATTCTGGTGATGTGAGGTAACTCATGTGCTGGGGCATGCAGTGAAAAGCAGGGACCAGGGAGGCCAGTGTGGATGTAGCCAAAGCCATGTGGCTTCTGGGGCAGGAAGGTAAAAAAATCACAAACTTGAAATATGGGACAGTGGATTCAGGGCAGATTGGGAAAGGCCTTGCAATCTATGGAATAGGTCATTAAGTCATTCATTAGTTTCCATGATCCCTAAAATGATGAAGGAAGGCAAAACAAACAAACAGGCTTTTTAATTTGACAAATGTCACTGAACTGGTTGATAGGTGGGAGAGCCAGCAGATGGGAGAGCTGGAATTTGAACTTAGGTCTGTCTCCCTGCAAAGCCTGAGTTCTTCTGGACTCTGTACTTTCTTGGAATGCTTAAGGTTTACTTCCCTTGTGCCCAGTTAAGTGGAACTGGAAAAGGATTACTATACTGTACAGTTTAGTTTTCAGAAAATGAAATCCAAGAATCTAATAAAGTAGTCTGATGTGGAACTTGGGTAAATAGACACCAAAGCTTAGGTTGAGGTGCATTTTAGGCGATTTGGGTAGGAACTCTTGGGCTACATCCCCAAGAGTTAGACCTCTGAAGTGTGGCCATATGACAGCCTGGCATCCTAGCACAAAAATCACTATGGCAACCCCCCATTCGTTGCTCTGGAGTCTCTTGGCCCAGCTGAGAGATACGTGATACTCTCCAAGTCACTTTCCTTTAACCATGGGCTTAGTTTCCTTAGGGGTCAGACACAGACAAGGGTTTGCAGGCTCAACCCTTAGATACCAGCTGGACCCAGACCTATGATACTTTCACACACACACACACACACACACACACACACACACACACACGCACACATGCACAGCTGAAATTTTTTTGTATTAGATTGGCCCTATGTAACTGTCCCCCTTACTTTGGGAGACAGTTGTCAAAGACAGTGTCACTGCATCCCTAGCATCACCTGAAAAGTAAGTGAGAAAAACTCAGGCCCCAGTGGGGAAGTAGACCAGTGACAGTCTTGGAAACTTCCCTCTTTATTGTGAACTGGTATCTTAAAAGCCAGAGTTTTGAAACAACCACAGATCCCAGGGGAGTTCCCCTGGGGCAGCCAGCCTCCCACCTGTCCCCATTTATTCTTATTCCTTGTCTTTTCTTTTATTCCAATTCATAGCTACATCATTTGTGGGTTTTTTTGTTTAGTCTTCCACCCTCCACCCTGTCTTCTTGACTGTAAGCTACGTATGAGCAGGGACCACATCTATTTTTTGCCAATTGAAAACAGGTGTGGCGTGTGGATTTTTCTCGGTATTACAGGCGTCTCTTTCCTATTACTTTATTGGCACTGAGGAGTTTTTCTTTTCCTCAGCTTTAACTATTGGAGTCCCTCAAGTCTGGCTCTTAGGTCACCTTCATATCTTTTTCTAAGCCATCTCAATCATGTATAAAACTTGAACAAGCCTCTTTACCGTTACTGTCTGCATGTCTTCAAGGTATCTCAAAGTCCCATCTCCTGGAGTAATGTGCATGAACTCGGCCCTTTGCTATGCTCTCTGTGTAGGTGGTTCCATCAGTCAGCAGTGTGGGCAAGCCAGAAACCCAGGAGCCATCCTGACTCTTCCTCACCGTCTTCACTCTCCCTAAGTCACTGACTCAGGTTTGTAGATGTTTATTTACCTCTTATCCATCTCTCAGAGCCATCTGTTATCATCCCTGCAGTCCCCATGCTAGCTCTCATTTCCTCCACTCACCTGACTGCCTTATATCTTCCTATTTCTGCTCTGTCCCACTCCATTCTCCAGAGTCCCGCCAGAGTGACCCTGTAATATAAATGCTACCATGTTGCTATTATTACACCTTTGGAAGCCCCTATCCACATAGAGTTAAAAACCCTGCCACAGCTTCCATTATGCTTAAAAGTCAACGTTTTTGCATGAACAATAAAGCCTTGCGTGACCCAGACCATACAGTTGGCTGACTTGGAGATTATTCTTTGGCTGATCTCTTTATTATTCCCCAGCGTCTGGCTTGTGTGTGTGTGTGTGTGTGTGTGTGTGTGTGTGTGTGTGTGTGTGTGTCTCAGGGGGTTACTTCACTCTGGCATGGAAGATCCAGGCTTGGGCTGTGTTGTTCCAGGAAAGCTCCAGCCTGGTTACCTTCCAAGGCTTCTCTTGACCTACAGAGAGCTCACCCATCCCGCTATGGAAAATGTTGGAAGGGCAGTTGTATTTGCTGGCCTGCCAGCATGGGCAGCAAGAGTCAGTCTGTTTGGCTTATATGCTTATTTTAGAATTGAATTAGACATCAGTCTTTGGTGTCCCTTATGCTCCACAAAATATGCATAAATTCTTCAGAATTATCTCCTTAAAGGAAATTGGAACTTGAAGCACAGCTATTTATAAAGAAATCTTCCTTTTTTCTGTTTAATCTTAACTGTATTGTAGCCTAGAGTAGAACTGAGGTAAAGTTCACGAGTCAGGCTTGGGATTGCTACTTTGCAATTCCTGAATACATGAGCCATCATTTCTCTTTAGAGTATGGGAACATTCTATCACCTTTTGAATCTTTTAGGGGACACCGCCAGCTCTGAGCAGAAAGTGTTCCATTTACAGAATCCTGTTTTATATAGAAGATACCCAGTGGAAGGAATTAGTTAGAATCCAGTCATTTTCAGACCAGAAGGGGCATGTTATTTTGGGAAAGTTGTGTAGTCATGGCCTGGGGCAGCTAGAAGTACCTTAATAGCACCAGGAAACTGAAATAGAGGCCTTTAAGGCTTTGCCTGATGCTAGACCTCACAGTATTTGCCAGAGCCTTTAACCTTGACCTCTTATACTTCGTTCCCTGTACCTGATTTAAGAGGCTGTTCAGTGATGGCTGTGGGGCGTCAGTCTAAAGCAGGCATTTCTCTTGTTCTGTAGGCTGTCTCTCTACTTTGTTACCTTCTCCATCACTGTATGGAGCATTTGTGTTTGATATGTAGTGTCTACCAAGCATTGAGCGCTTTGTGGCCAGAGCCAGGCAAAATTCATCTGCAGAGGTGCTGAAGGAGTGATGGGCATGCAAACGGCACTGGAATCTCTGAACTTTCTGTGTGTCCCCAGGTAGGGACAATGGCCTTGGCTTCACTCGATTGTCAGTTACCATTCCTGCCAGGGATTGAGCAAGAGCACGTCAAGGCTGGAGCCAGGCAAAATTCCTCTCAAGCTGAGGTTTCCACAGGAGCAAGTGAGAGTGGAATGCTGTCGGACAGTTTCTGTTTGGGCCAATTTAAGTTCTATGTCCTGGGGCAGAGTGACAGCCTACAGCCACAGGGGAGTTGCTGGCATGGCCCCAGTACTTTTCTGTGTACAGGAGAGAAGTACTGGATGAATAGAGTTTTTTCTTTGCCTTGTTAGTCACAGGCACCTGTGTGCAGCACTGGCAGGATGGTGGGAGCCATGCAGGCAACTGTCCTCCGTCCTGGATCCCCCTTGAAACCACATGGACTGGCCACATTCCTGGTCCCAGTGTCAGGGGGTAGCATCCCTGATCTCCATTAAGGGTAGTGCCCAGAACTCCCTTCTCTGTTGCAACATTGGCTCTTATCAATAGCACTCAGTGGATTTGTGTTAGTTCCTTCACCAAGGCAACTACTCACTTGACAGCAGTGGAATATGCAGACTTCTGATCCCCAAAACACTCTCAGATAACAGGTCCCCTTTCAAGATGGCTCCCAATTACAGTACTTTGGAGGTTCACTGAGAAATGGATTCCTTTTCCAACTCAGAATACTTCACAAATTTCAGGTCTCTTATCTACTTAGGCTGTAAGCCTACAAGGGCCATGAAACTTTCTGATGGATGGAGTTTGCTGGAATTCTTTCACCTTTGCTTCTAGGAAGTGGAGACTCCTCCTTTTCTAGGACAGGAGGCAGGTACTCAAGTGATGTGATAGTTTCTCTTGCTATCCTGTTGTTAGGGTTTATATCTAGGTGTCCCCTTAAAGCCTCTTGTGATAATAGGAATCTTTGGAATGTGATTAAAAGGAACATTATAGCTTTCCATGAGGGTGGGGCCTGCAAGGAACACCTCAGTCACTAGAAGGTGACGTCTCACTTCCAGGCTTCTCCCTGACTCTGCTTTCCAGCAGACATGCAACTCTCTCAGCTTCCATGCTCCTCTACCATGCAGCCTTGCCTTGGAGCCAGCCAACTATGGTCTGAAACCTCTACAAAGTGTGAGCCAAGATAAAACTCCACTCCTTTAATTTGAAGCTTTCAGGCATTTGTCCCAGCAAGGAAGAAAGTGATTAAGACACTGAAGCCTTTAAAAGGCTTCCAGCTTTTAAAATCCAGAGACCTAGATTTTAAAGGCTTCTATATTCTATCATTGAATTCGTGTTCTCTCGTAGTCACCTGCCTCAACATACAGCTCTACATCTTTGCTTTTGTTCTCTGTGGAAAAGCAGGTGTGTGGTTGTGGCTCATGTTGGTACTCTACACGTATTTTAAAAGGTAAGAACAATTACACATTTTGAACAATTTACACTTTTGCAATATTTCACTAATGCAACACTGAGTCATTATAAGAAATGTCATAAGAAAAGTGTGAGGAAAAAATTGGAAAAATAATGACAGTGTTACAATTCTGATGTCTTTCTGAATTCAAGTCTTAGTAGTCAAGCAGATACAAACCTAGGTAAGAATACTACTTCAATATAGATAGAAATTAGGCAAGAAGATGAGAGTTCAGTTTTGCCAATTTTATTGAACCAATAAAATTCCTACTAATAACAATGAAATAAATTTCTGCAAGTATAAATGTGATACAGTTTAACAAAACCCATTGTTCTGTACCTATAAATAGATTTTCAAAATGTCATAAAAAGTGCAGTTATGAATTGTTAACATGTTAATACACAATTTCTTTATTTCAAATGTGTGTATCTTGACTCACTAACAGTTCCTTCTGCATCTCTTCAAATAATATTACCCATCCCTCCAAAAAAAAAAAAAGGCATTAAAGCACTAGAATATTACACATAAGCTGATCCACTCAGGTCAGCTTTAGTCAGAATTGTAAAATCAGCAACATAAGAAAAATAAAACCTAGTTATACATACAGAAAGCTTTCGTGGTTCTATAATCTCCTTAACTGCTGACTCATGTGGAGGGCCTTAAGAGCTGAAAAGGCTTATATGGTTAACTACCTTACACTATATCTACAGCAGGGTCTGGTTTGCCAGAACAAGTTTAAAGTGGCTGTTTATGAAGTTTGCTATTTTTAGAATTGAAACTATAAAGATAAGACTGCCATTTGATGCTGAACTTGTGTGAATTCTAAATTGCATCAATGATCTATTTGATAAAGCTTATTCTAATTTAAAACCTTATAGAGTAAGAGACTGATATATAGAGCAGTCTTAAGATCACGTCATCCGCCTTACATTAGTCCAAAGTCACGTGCTTCGTAAAAAAACAAAAAAAATTACAGTAACAAAGCACAGGACTACAAAGGCAAAACATCACAGCTTCTGATTACATTGAATAAAAAGTACCAAGGAACGCAAAGGATAATTCTGTATTAATACTGATGAAGTAAAGAACTATAATAGACATTTCACAGCATGCTACATATATCGCTCACAAATAAGGATTAAATGATGTCTAAAATTGAAAATCAAGAAGTTGGCAATCTGATTTCATGTGCAATTCAGCTACAAAGTCTTAATATATACATTCATTATGTAGCTGCCCTGCAAAATCAGGATTTAAAAAAAAGTTTTCAAGTTCAAATCCTATTTCATAAGTTGAAGGATACATCCAGTTCTTCCATGGCCAGGAAAGTAATTTTCAGGTTTGAAGGAGCTAATCCAAGAGACAAGGTCACATATTCCAAGGTGACCAGACAGGGTTCTTGTTTATCTGCATGTGGTTTATTTTCAGTATCTATTTTATTTTGGGCTAAAGAGTTAAATGTAAAGAGAAAGAAGAAAGAAAAAATTGTACTTTCTCTCCAGAGAAGATATATGAAAACAAAGAAAAATTTGTACTAGATACAGAGTTGGGATCAATTTCCTTGGTGAACAAGGGTACCGTTTAACTCTTCTTGTATTTAAAAGAAATAGAGATTAGAAAAGAAGAAACCAACCTCTCAGCTTTCCAAAGGAAAATTCTTGGCCACCCCACTGATACATTTCCTTATCCTACCTCTTGATCCTTCCTTATCAGACTTAGGGGAGCCAGTTGAAAATTTGAAAGACTGGTTAATGTAAGAAAGATATATAATTAGTTTAATTCTGTGTCATAATGTATATGCTTAGTCAGAATCTGTAAATGATAGTTTAACACTAAAGACTGAAGATTCTTTTTCCGTCTTTAATATTCTTTCTATAGAAATTATATATTCATTTTTAAGAGGGTAACTTGAGGGGTACAAGAAAATAGATTGTTTTAGCAAAAATTTTCATACCAAAAATTATATTTATCATATTTAGACTTATTCATGTTTGATGATGTCCTATGAAATATAAAATGGGGCATTTGTTTTAAAGGCCATATGATAGTATGCACTGTATTCTTTCAAAGATTTTTATAAGCATTCAAAAGAACCAGATACTCTCTTCTTTCCCCTATATTTTTTCTTTTTCTGTACTTCATGGTAGCACAGTCATAATTAGGTTAAAGCCAGAGTAAACACTTCATGATACATGACCGAATAAAACTTTCAGTCTCCAAGTCTTATTTCTTAAGTAAGCAGCTGGGTTCACTTTTGGACCTTTAAAGGGATTTAGTAGACACTGTGGTCAGGTTGGGCTATTCATGACTAAGATGAGAAACATGCAAATACCACCAGAATTCATATTAATCTATACTCTTATTCAGGGTGGTTCACCTTCTAGTCAGAAAATCACCTATAGTTCATGTGCCCCATGTTAGAAACCAGAGGCCGTTTAATCTCAAACAATGCTGAGTTACACATAGGCTGGAGAGGAAGAATTTGCATTTTTGTCTTTAATGATACTATCTGGACATCTCTGAAGAGCAGCGAGGGGAACAGACTATAAAATCAATGCATTCTCTTTTCATCCCATAGAAGACACTTGCCTCCATGAGAATGGGGTAGGGATGGGGGTTAGAAGTTTAGTCTAACCCTAGAAAGCCTAGTCAAACCCTTATGTACCCAGTTTTGTGGTATTTTTAATGGTCTTCTGTAATCTGGTCAGACCATCTAAACACTGTTATCAATGTCCTCTTACAAGAAATGTGTTTCATGGCCCAAATGCCACCAATAAAACAAATAACTGAAACAGCACTCCATTTATATGCCAGAAATTTCCTGTTCCACTAAAGGGCTACAGGTCAATCTGGACTGCTGGAGAATTTTAACTTTACATTCAAATAACTTGGACTAACACCAATATTCATTATCTAATATAGATCCAGGTTATGGATGGCAATTTAATCACTTTACAATCCTGCTAAATGCTAAATTCTGCATGGTAGAAATAGTTCAATTTCTGTATCATGTATAAATATAAAGATTCCTACTTTGATAGAAGGCAAAATCTTCTATGATTTATTTAAAATATGGAAGTAGTATTACTGAAGAGAGAGTGAACCCATGAAAAGGCTGGATACTCTGAATTTATAGGCTCTTTGGGGATGAGGTAGAGGAGAACACGGTATTTTGGCAGTTGGGAAAAGGGTAAACAGTGTGGGGTGGACAAGATTAAACTGATGTGCATAACGTGGGATAGGGTGGACAGGACGGAAGGGCAGCAAGGGGAATAAGCCAGTCAAAAGTCAGGAGACAGATGGATGGACAGGTGAGGGATGTAGAGGGAGTTGTAACAGCCATAATCTTCACGAATGGAGAAAACGTAACTCAGAAAAGTAAGTGCTGGTGACTATCAGCAGGTGGCTGGTGATGCTTGGTTTGGATCTTGAAAGGTGTTCAGACCAAGACCGGCTGAGGGAAGGGAAGGTAAGTGAAGGTGTCCAGGTTGAGGCACTTGGAGGAAGAGAAAGCAGGCAGGAAAGAGAGGACTAAATGCAGGAGCTTCCTGTATATTAGGTGGATGATGCTGAGGAAAGCCACCATCTCACTGTTATGTTTCCTACAGTTTTTGGAAACGTTTCCTTCCTCCCAGGGCTATCCTGACGTATACTTCTACCTCTGCAATCTGCCTCACCCCCAGCTGTATTTGTTCCACGTCTCACCTGAGCAGATACTGCTAACTAAGCCAAATCAGCATCGAATAAGCTCCACATACAGTGGTCATGTAAGCTTTGTTGACTGAGATAAATACATTCATATTACAGTACTTCTTTGAGGAAAGACTACTTAATTGGATTCTCAGTCTCCACAGAGATATAATAGGGAAACACAGTTTAGAATGATGGCCACCTAGAATAGATTCTGATTATACAAATTATATAATGTAAAGCCCAGTCTAAACAGAGGAGCCATGTATCTTTCAGTTTAGTATTGAATGGTGCTAAGAAAATAAATATTAGTTTTACAGCATCATTGTTGCATACTTTTAACTCCATGCAAGACCATTTATTAGATAAAAAGGAACATTTAAGGTCTTGCTTTCCAGAAATGACTTAGAACTATCTATAAAACACATCATAGGCAAAAAATCAAACCAAAACCAAAACCAACCCCCTCATTTTACTATCACAGTGCAAACCTCTTTACAGCATGCACTGAAATTTGCTTTTTTCCCCTGATGAATTTTTTTAATTAAAAAAATCTATCATGTATGCATCTATCCTAAAGGTGGTGAAATATTTTATTTATATTAATTGCTCATAAATAAATTTTTCTGTGGGACAAAAGCCTAAAATTTCAGGTTAAAAACTTTTGAGTCAGGGGCCGGGGTTATAGCTCAGTGGCACAAGCACCTGCTTGGCAAGTGCAAGGTCCTGAGTTCGATTCCTAATTTAAAAAAAAAGAATAAAAACAAAAAAAAAAATTGAACTCAGGCAAGAAAGAGTTGCTCAGAAATAATATTAATTAAACTTCAGAAGTATTAAAAATCTTTAGGAGACATTATAACACAAAATAGGGCTCTGGTTCAAGTTTTATGTGATTTTTATATAAACCTTACATTTGGTTTTCTATTCTAAAAACAGCACTATGTTGCTCTGCCATTACTGGGTTTAAACTATGATATAAGGCCAGAGCCATACCCCCAGATTCCATGTTAGTCATCTTTTATTTAAAGAGTACCCCAAGTGAGACGAATTCTTCCTGAGACTGAGACTATGTACCTAGTTTAAAAAAAGAAAAACAAAGGATGAAGGAGTTTTTCTCCAGAGCCTCTTTCCCCTAATTCTCACAAGTCCACCTGAGGAAGCCTAACCTGAGGGGTTCAGTGAGGCACTGGCTGTAGTCAAGTGGGTTAAAGAATAGATTGACTTTCACACGGGAGGTTATTTTGATATTTCTTACAGTGATCTGAGAAATGAAGAAGTATCATCAAAGCTGGAAAACTTGAAATTTCAAAGTAAATACACATTATTCAAGCATATATTTCAGTGAATTATTAAGAGTAATTTTAACACAATAAGCAAGGAATTAAAGAGTTCACATTCGCATGTGCTTTTTTTATGTATACTTGCACATTTAAGTTTGGCACAATGTGAGCCCAAGGTGATTAGCATATAATCACATTATTATACCAATTGAACCAGGTATCTTTTTTAAAAAATATCACATTTTAATATAAAAAGCTACACTATAAATTACTACCTAATAAATTCAATACTCTGGAAAAAAATACCACCCTGGCAAACCGCATCATAATTTCAAGTTTGCACTGGATAGGGAGAGTTGATAACAAACTCATTGTCAAAAGGGATTCATAGCCTGGAACAATGCTGCTGCCTTTCATCTGGTGCATAAGCACCTTTAGAAGTCAGGCTGGTTTACTGAAGCTTGTACTTGCATTGTTTTATTTTGCTTTTAGTTCCAAGCCAACTTCATTTCCTGATTACTAAAGAGATGGATCAATGTTGAGCAAAAAAAAAATTTTACTAGGAAAGATATCTATTAAAGGCACTAATTATCTACAAAACTCAAACTAACTGCTTACATTTCAGGGGGAAAAATAAAAGAACAAAAAGTGGCCATTTTAGTTACTTATACCTTGTTTCCCCTTTTGGTCTAAAGCTCATATGGTGTTCTGTGAGAATTTTCCCTCGGATTCAATACATAAAAGTCATTTCTTTTTCATTCTGTAATACAGTTCACCTGCACAAAATGATAGACTATTGATTTAAAAGATTCTAATAAAAATGCAAGAATAAAAGACACCCTCATCATGAAAGTCCTAAAGTTAGAGAAATTAAATGGACTTTTATGTTGTTATCAGTGTTCTATCATTCTCTTCAATACTTTCCTTGTAATTAATATTTATCTGTACAATGTGGTACTGAAAAAAATCAACATAGGGTATATGCAATAAACAAAACACAAGAGATCTGACATGAGTTCTTTGAATCATCTCTTTAAATAAACCACCCTGTCCTGAAAAATATTACTCATTTTTTTTTTCCTCATGGAAGATTTCAAACAAGATCCTCAAATCCAAAAACACAGAACTAGCTTACATTAATAGGTTTACAGTCATTTTTGTTTTCCTATCTGGAACAAAATCTAAAGGAAAGCAACCTAATATATTGTACTAGAGACAGATGATAAATAGAAGGGAAAAGATGATTTAGCATAACACTAGCCCATGATTATTTCACGAGAGAAAAAAAGTAAGTCCTATAACATAAGTCTAAAATGAAATTTCTGTGGCAACTATAATGGAAAATTTTAATGATGTTATTTACTATGGCAAAATGGATATGCTTTTAAAAATTACCATATATGTGTAAAATTCAAGTCACCTTTAATTAATCAAAATGTATTTAAGCAGTGCAGTTGTGTCCTACTGGATAGTTGTAAGCATCTCTTTAGGCACTTCACTGGTTCACTAACATAATACAAATTAAAGCTATAAACACATAATGTTGTGCTCTCTGAAGATAGTCTAATCAAACAACATAGACCAATGCAAAAATGTGACATTTTGGCCACTTATTCCTCCCCTATGACTTGATACCTTTTTAAACCAGTTGTCCAAAGAGATTTTTTGTGAAGGGAATGCTTTGGCATTATAAAAAGAACATTGTTTAGTCCTAGTAAGGTAAAACAGAAAAAAAGCCTAGTGCAATAAAGAAATTTGAATAAAATTTCTTTATGGCTCTGTTTTAAAGGACACTTCTGCAGTGATACGATAGGGGAAAAGTTTAGTTGAGTATTTTTTAGAACATATTGCACTCTTTTGTTGTTCCATCACATTAATGCATAGAAACACAATTTTTACCTTTGAATTACAAACTGTTTAACTATTATAAGAAGAAAATAATGAAAAACAATTTCTAAAAGCCTAACAGAAAAAAAAATATAGAACTATTAACCATCCTTTGCTTATTGTAATATAGAAAAACCTATGAGAAAAGAAAAATGTGCAAAGAAAATTTTTGGTCAGTCTTGTGTGGGTACAGGTTTCTATGTGCCGATTGGGTCAAGGGTGAGCAGCACTGTGAGCACTGATTATTTCAGGTAACTGAGGATCGCTGTCAGTGACAGAAAGGATTGTGCATAATTCTGCTTTTCATATACACATCTAATACAGAAAACCGAAACCTCTGTTGTAAGAGAGAAAGAAAATAGCTGAATTTGGTATTTCAGTAGCATGCTATAGAATTCATCATGATTAAGTTCACATTAAATTATGGACAATGGCTGTATCACATTTCATGTTATTGCCAATAGCAGTTTAAAAAAAAAAAACTACAAGTAAGAAAACACACAGTGCCTGACAAATAATTTTCCTAGGGACACAACACTGTGTCCAGTGAGCAGCTTGGTTCAACAGCGCATGCTTTTCCTCTACCAGATTTAGGACACAACGTGAAGATTACAGAATGGCCAAAGGAGGTCATTCTTTGCTGAATTCCAACATCTGAAGAACAACTGCGTGAGCAGATTGTAAGCGCTTTTCCTTATTTTTTAAAAAAAAAAAAAAGTAAAGAAAAAATACACATATACACAAACCCCAAAACACTGAAGTCAAGCATTAACAACCATGTTCATGATTTATGATCGGTGTCCAAAAATCCAACTATAAACAACGCAAAGTAGTGCTCCTCAGTATTATTTTTGCAATTGTTAGTAATGTTAAGCATCAAGAAAAAATAAAACACATCATTGCACATTACAGCCAGAAGGAAAAACAAAAACAAAAACAAAACAGCTAAACTCTGACACTAGAGAAGTGAATAATTTTGATGCTATATCACAAACAGCTTCTGATGTAAATTGAAAGTGAAAAAGTCTTTACACATATATGACACTGTCCCTGGGTGACACTTCAGGTCAAATGCCGAGTTATGGCACGAAGAGCATAAAGTAGTTCAGCTTGCATCCTTGCTTCCATTAAAAGTAGATTGACATGAACCTAGAGAGTGAAAATATTATCAGATTGTAACGAAATTATGAAAACATATGAAAAATGTTTAAGTTTTTCATATATTAGACTTAACAAAGAATTTTATTTGTACATGGCAATATATAAACATGCATGCCTGGGCACACTTATGCACATACATAATGGATTATTCAAAAGTGCATTTGTAAAATATGGCTCTGTAAGCAGTAAAAACAACCCATAATATCTAAAATATTCCCACAGTCTTTTTAGATTATACATTATGCAAACCCAATCAACCATTTAGATTATAAAAATAACTTTTATAAGTTGTTTTCTTACAAATTATGCTTCCTTCCAATTAAAGTATTACCTGGCTAAAAATCAACCCTACCTTTTTTTTTGTAACAGCCTATATTTATTACATAGAAAGCTTTTGAAAAATTTCCTTGTGTTTACTTGAAAAATATTACAGTGAAAATTTGATGCTTAGTGTAGTTTGTAGGTAGTATGTGATCTTAGTTAGCTATGCATGGCTTCTTTAAAGTCTTTTAAATGAAAGTGTGAATAGTACTTCTAGGGATACTTCTCAACTGGCAGTGAAAGTAAATACATAAAGTTTTCAAAATTACTACAAAGAAATATTTATTTTGATATCTTTCTGTCAGTTAAATATATTGTTGGATATACAAGGTATGATTGAAGAATTTGGTGAAAACTTAAATTCAAAAACATTTATTACAGTGAAAGACACCATCAGTCTCCTTTGTTTTGAATGTAGTCCTCTTTTGAGATTGTCCTTAGTTAAACAGTCATGGCTGCTTCAATGTCCTGAATCAATTCAAAAGATTTACCTTTCATGGCCATTTTGATTTTGAGGAAAATCCAGAATTCACATGATCTAGTGAATAGGTGTGTGAAGAAACACCAGCTTTTGTTATGAGTCTGTCTACTGGAAGGCAGCATCACTTACCATATGTTCTGACACACCCTAAAGACACTGATTAAAGAGCACCTTGAGCACTGCCTCAAAAATGATGGGACACATATATCTGAGATGAGGGGGAGTAAGGGCAATGTATCTTTTAATGTAATTCTAAAAATTTAAACATTCACTGTATACTTTCATCATTCCTTGTATCCTAATGTTAAATAAAAAGGAATTAGAGCCTAGAAAAGAAGAAAAATTGCAAACATGTAAATGGGGCATAAAGATTCATCAAGAAGAGATGCTGGAGTTAAGCTAGGCATTTTCTGGAAGACTTTAAAAAGTATGTTACCAAGGTCATAATGTTTTTTCCAAGGCTATATACCTTTAGTAAATGTAAGGACCTAGAAAGATTTTTTTTTTAATTCTCAAGCTTAGAAATTGGCTTAAAGAAGATTCTTGAACTTATGGTTAAAAGGAGTAGGATTTAAAGCCAACTCTTGCACTATGATGTTGGTGAAGATCCTTTAACTTAATACTAAATTATTAAATTGGGATTAAAAAACTGTTGTTCCAATAGATTAACTCTGGTGGCTAGCTAGTGTTATTTCTGTAAGAATCTCTATATGGATATGCCTTTTGGGCCAAGATACAATTACATCTATCACAATTTCTCAGTAGGTATTATTTTTAAGAATAGAATGATAGGATAATTTCCCAATGACTTTAAAGATATCAGTATTTAGATCCAACCCTTCAAGGGTTGATCCTAAAACTTACTTACACACTATGTTGGACAAAGCACATAAGCAAAATTTAGTTAATAGTAAATAAATCTAAGCTAAAAATCTTTTTAAAAACTCAGAGAATTATACCACTTCAATTTCAATGGCATCAATTTATTAATACTGTCAGGCATCATTTTTCCTAACAATATTGAATACACTTAATATGGGTCTATAGTATAACGCAGGGCTATGAAACTTACCTTTTCTGAATGTTTGAACTGACGCCAGTAACTATCATACATGCGCTTGGTAGTTCTTTCAGGATAGCAGGTCACTGTCTTAATGTAAACCTTCAGGCTTCGTTCAAGTAATTGATTAACTTCTCCATAATCATAGTCATCATACCTATGAGTACAGTGACAAAAATTTTAGTATGACAAAATCAAAGCTTTAAATTGCTAGATTTATACCAAGAGTTGTTTATTTTTTATTAATTCCATATCAAAAGTTCATTAAAGTCATTTAATAAGTATTTATTTCTTTATGCATTATTGTAGGCATTGGGATACACTGGTAAAGGAAAAAAATTGACCCCTGGTTTTTTACAGCTTAAATTCCATTAGAATATAAAGAGATGAATTAAAAAGATAAATATGTAGTATGCACATGGAGAGTAAGTGCTATGCAGAGAAAATGGATCCGCAGTCTAGGAGGAGAAAACATCTAATTTTAAATAGGATGAGCATGAAAGTCTGACATTTGGGCAAATACCGGAAGGTGGCAGAGGACACTTAAATTTCACCAGTGTTTATTTTTAAGGGAATAGCTATAATATATGTATATATTTTAAAATGCAATGATTCTCTCATAATTTATTGTTCAGGATATTCCGTGGGCACATGGCATAGTTATTTTATACCATAAAAAGTCTAGGACCAGAAGTGTTTCTCAGACTCTCAAGTTTTCAGATTTTGGAATACATGCATAGACTCCATCAGTGAAATATCCTTAATTTGAAATTTTGAAAACTGAAATGCTCCAAAATCCAAAGGTGCAAACTTAAGGATTTCAGATAATTTTGATTGTAAAGTTTTTAGAAGCTGTTTTTCTTAAATAGAATGTTACATCACTAGTTGATTGATCAGGAAATTCTGGGCTTCTTTAGTTAAAATTGCAGAGAATACTTGCTCAACAAACTGAATTCTAATTTATTGTATAAAGATTTTCTGATAGCATATAAGAAAGGATACAGTTTATAGTCAAGTTGAATGCATTTATAAGTGCAAAATTTGTTTTTGCAAATCTGTCCCTATAAAAAGCTTCTAATACCCAGCTCAAAAAGGCACATCTCCTAAAAGAGCTTTCTTGATTAGATCAATTTCACTGCCTCATTGATGCTGTCCTCTTCCTCTTAATGCTAATTTTCTAAATTTAGCAGCCATTAATTTATACTGACGGATACGTTTCAGTACTCTTATGATGTGAGCTTATGAGATCTTCACAAGAACAGAGTCTAGTTTTGCTTGCTATAACTACCACTCCTTCAAAAAGTTTTAAAACCAAAACAAACAAACCAGGATTTATTACAATGATCTAAAAAAAGAACACTTTAAAAAAATTAATGATATTCTTCTAGGAAGACTTTCCAAATTTCGTCTAATTCTATTCTATTTCCAGTGATTACGTATGCTTTTCACCTTAGTAAATTCTTACTATTGTATTTATATGTGCATCATTATTAAGATTCACAATGAAGAAAGTGCTTCTCTATAAAATGAAATTAATTTTTAAAATCAGAAGTACACACGTAACATTTTCTCCCAGAATCAAATACTCCTAAATGGGATATACTAAGACTCATGTTAGAATTTTCACTTAGAAATGTGTACAGTTGTTTGCACACCAGGCATACCTGATTCCAAACATACAGTGAACATAGTTAAATAAAGCTCTGCGCAGCGTGGTTGTGTCAACATCCTCATGGGTTGCCATAGTGTTATAGGTGAGGTTGTAGACCATCCGAAACTTCTCATCAAGAAGATGTCCAATGTCAGAATACAGCCTGTTCACCAGGGAGAACCCATGATTTTCCCAGGTGTAGTCCTAAAGGAAAGAAAATGTATTCAATTACAAAATGAACATTTTCCATTTGAACCATTTTTATTAAATAAAACTACTGAAACAAGTCAGTGAGAATATCTGTAATTTAGTTCTAGGCTTCCAGCTTTGCTAGCCTTTATCAAGAACTTTTCACATCAGTCTGTAATTGGAGTATGGGGATGATTCTTCACAGGGCCCAGGGATTGGGCAGGCTAACAATAACATACAGCCACCTTCTATAGTCAGGTTCTGTTACACACCACACACCCTTATCTGAAAAGGCACCAGAAAATCTTGGAATACTCCTATGTCACTAAACTTAGTGACATGGACATTTAGGTGATCACTTGACATAGGAATGAAAGCGTGTTCAAATCAGACATATGCCCTCTTTAGATCTCACATCACTACTGCAGCTACACTTTCTGCGAGTGGGACAGTAGTTCTTAAAAGCCTGTAACCTTATTATAAAATGTCTTATTATGCTTGTGACTGTATCATTTGATTTTCTCTCTGCTCCCGCAAAAACTGGGATGCTCATGATGTAACTAATTTATAATAATGCAAGACTAAATAAAGCAGACAGCAATTCTATTTTGTTTTTAGGGATAAAATGCTAAAATAATTATTGGGTTAACAAGTTAAGACTGCAAACTAGGATAAATAAACAGACTTACAAGTCCTATCAATTTCTTTAGAAGTCAATTTATTTACATTTTGACAGTGAACAGTTAAACGGACAGAATTCTCTAGTTTCTCTGAACTAAGGACATCTTATACCTGAGCACGAAATGTTGGCAAATGCTCTTCTCCTCGTCTGGCAAAGTCTTCATATCCAAAACCAGGATCTTCAATGTATCGAGAGACATCAGATGTTATAATCATGTCATCATCAAAATCTAGGGAAATTAATGAAAGATCCATTGTTAAAGATATCTTAATTCTGTAGTTATCAAAGCAAAGAACTATCAAATAAAAATTTTAAATGATAGTAGTGAAAGCAATATTTTATATACCTATATACATCACATAGTGCCTATATACCAGTTACTATGCTATATACTTAATGTCTATTTTTTTGTTTCATTAATACCAAGAAATACCACATAAGAAAGAAACCCCTAAGTTATCATTACTATTGTTAATGCAAAATATTCATAAAAATACAATGTGAATTAGCATAAGAGAAGTGGAAAACCGCTAATCATTAAGCTACCTAATAGATCTGAAGCTCTGAAGGGTTTTAGTTCTCTAAGAAGTTTCATGCTTACCCCTAGCACAAACCTATAACCACTTTGTGTTCTCCTTGTGCTCCAGCATTCTATTCAGGGGAACACACTAACATTCACAGCCCCCATTCCCCTCTCCATCTCTTCACTTCTCTCTCCTTTTCCTCCTCTCCTTCTTTTGATGTTTCTGGAAATTCAATCCAGAGAGGGCCTCATCAATGTTAGGAAAGTAGTCTACCACTGAAATACAGTCCAGCCCCAAATTATGGCATTTTCAGTTCTCTCTCTTTTTCTCTCTCTCTGTCTCTTAGTCTGTCTCTATCTCTCTGTCTGTCTCTCTCTCACTTTAAGATAGGGTTTCACTATGCAGTTCAGGCTGACCTTGAACTCACTCTGTAACCCAGGTTGGCCTCAAACTTGCAGCAATCCTCCTGCCTCAGCCTCTTGAATATTGGGATTACAGGCATGCACCACCATGCCTAGGTCAGTGCATTCTCTCTTAATATAACTCTTATACTTTCCTTAATTTAGTGTGGTGTCACATAATAATCAACAAAAATGAAGCAAAAAAAATGTAGCAGCAATCACTGAGGCTGCTATACCAGCCAGAGTTTTGTAGATTACAAAGTAAATTTAACTAAGATAGTTGCGTCCTAACTAAACTCTGTAAAACAGTATCCCTTTAGAAATGAAATATTCCCCTGACACTATATAACCAGGAGGTTTCATATTGCAAATACTGACAATGGTAGTTCTTTTGCTAGTTCTTTTGTGTTTTATGATAGCTTTTATTTTGCTCATATATGTTTTCAATTATATGAATTTTAAACATTTTAAAATAAATATTAAAAAGTGAGATTTTTATAATAAATGAGTTCATCCTAGGAAAAAATCTCTGCTTATTAATCTTAAAAGTAGGAGTAAATTAAGACCTGCTTTAGTGATAGTTCTGTCTACAGAAAGAAATATACAAAGATCCCTCAATCATTTATATTTTGCTATATTTCTGCTATATATAATTTGCTTACGTGTTTCCCAAAGGTCTGTGTGGTAAAGGGTTGGACCCCACAGTGGCGTTATTCCAAGTTTAGTGGAAACTTGAAGAGGTGGGCCATAGTGGCAGGTCTCTGAGGTGATGCCCTTAAAGGGAGGACCGTGGTGTATTTCATTTTGCTTTCCAGCCATGAGATGAATGGTTTAGTTCTGCCACATGTTTACCACCAGGACATGCTACCACAGACCTAAAGTAATGGGGCCAACTGATCATAGACTGAAATAGCTAAAATTAGAGAAAACCCATGAGCCAGAGGCAGCCATGCAGGTCAGGAAACCAATCTGCACCCTTCTGTGAGCCAGCTGGCACATGGGCCAGGAGACAAGAAGAACGCTGCCATCTACCTCCATAAGCAACTGGCTGATTCTGAGGAACACAAGCTGAGGTGATAGCAACTGAAGTTAAAAAAAAAAAAAATTAATGCTTGTATTGTTTGACTGACTTTGCAAGTCTAAAGCTGGTAGTCTGAGGATCTATTTAGAAGATAATAATATGCAATATAGCAACTGTGGGGGATTTCCTTCTGTCTTGTTTCTGAAATCCAATACTACTATCTCACTGTTTTATTTTGTTCCATTTTGTTTTATTTCCTTTAAAATAAATTTTAAAAATTATGGGAAAAAATCTTTTTCTCTTTTTAAATTGATTATCTCTGGGATTTATTAGAAACACAGAAAACTTCAGAATACTTTATGTAACCATTAAATTTAGTTCTAATGATAGTTAACAGAAAAAAACCCAATATAATAAAATGATTTTTTTCCTTAAATGATTCACACATGATATGGCCTATTTTTATTAAAATCAATATATAACATTTGAATAGGACCAAACACTTGCTAGTCAAAATTAAATTTCAAAGACAGTGGTGTTTAGTCAAGGGGCTAAGAAGATACAGTATGGGATACAAAATATCTTTTCAGTATTAACAAATAAACCTCAAGAAATATTTTTATCAAGCTCTAGTGATCTTGAAGCTCTTACAAATTAATATCCGAAAGCAAACATGTATCACTAAACTTAATAAAAATGTTTACATTTTCAAACATTGGTTCACCAGAAGATCCCATCCTAAGCTCATTATTTACCTTTACTTTTACTTGTTTCTCTGAATTTTTGTAATCATCATTCCTTTGACTTCTGCTCCCATTTATATGCTGATAACTCCAGCTTTTTACATTAAGGTTAAAATCGCTCTGGGTCTCCTGTCTGGCAGGCCCTGGCTAGTGCAAGTATAGTCTGCAAATTAGCAGCTCTAGGATCATCTGGAGGATTGAAAGCAACATGGCCTCTCAGGGCTGCCTGACTGATTCACAGAAACTGCATCTCAACACGATTCCTAAGTGACTCACAACCACATTAAGTCTGAGAAGCACTGTGTAGTTATCTCTAGACTGGACGTTTTATAGACATCCCAACTTAAAATGTCTAATATGTGACAGAAGACATGTTTCTTACTGTTTGAATGGTCATTGTAACAAGGCTTTTACCTCCTTAATCAGCTTCCTCTTCATATTTCTTACCACGTGATTTACGTCCTCAAGACACAAAACAACATGTTCCTCTACACAGCATCCTGCTTCCTTACCCCACCATGCTTTTGCACAGATGTTGTTTACCACTGTTTTTCTCTCCTACCAGAATAAGAATGCCATGAAGGCAGGAATCACACCTTATTTCACCGTAAGCTTTTAAGTACCACATGATTTGTTTCCTTAAATGATTCACACATGATATAGCTACCACATTGCTGAAACTATACGGGATGCTCAACAAATGTTTGTGGAATAAGTGTTAAACCAGGAACTAAAACACCAAGTTTATTTGGAATTCCCTAGGAGTATAAATCTGACTTGAAGTAACAGTAGCCTTCATGGATTAAATAAATTAAAATGGTTACCCAATTGTGTAAATAAAATCTTTCATTAAAGAAGATAACCAGCATAAACTGTAAAAGAGGTTCTTGTCCTTTCTGCAAAACTTCTGAGAGCTATTGATCAATATTTTTTAACACCAAGTACATTTATTAGAAAAGAAGAAAGTGATGAAATATTCTCGTATCTTTGAGAAATTAAAAATAAAAGACAGAATAAAGCCAAAAGTGAATAGAAGAAAATAATAAAGACAGAAAACACAATCCCTTATCAAACTGCCAGCATCATTTTTCACATAGATTAACATTTTGATTCTTACATTTCTGTAAAAATGGAAGACTCAGAATAGTCTCTGATCAATATTATGTTTATACAGCCAAAACAATTTTCAGAATTTGAGAGACTGAATAACTTAGTTTTAAAACAGTAAGTTCTATTTTAAAATGAAACACTGTATGTACTGATGACTCTGTATTAAGCTTGTGGTATTTTAATAATATTCACAATGTGGTGTTTGCTTTGTAGTTATAATTGAAAAGGTTCCTTTTTATTTCTATGAATATTAGAAAAAGTTTATTTTTAAGACTGGAGAAAAGAATTATAGCTTTTAAAACAGAATGAATTCCTTCAAGAAAATTACCTAAATAATACAATTGTGTAAAATTTTAAAGAAATGCAAATGGAAGTACAATATAATTTTGGAACTAATCTGGAAAAGCCAGTAATCTAAGGCTAATCCTCTTCATATACCTCACCTACTAGAAGGGCAAGGATTTTAAAGACTTTGATTTACAGAAACAGTACTTCACTTATCATTTTGATAAATCACAAAATAGGATGAATTAAATATTCATATCTAATTTTATAAGCAGTTGACTAGCCTTAAATAAAATTTTACACATGATAAACAATGGAAAACAAGCCTAGAAGTTTGCCTCAAATGGATCTGAATGCAATGTATTACTCACGTGTTTGTGACATGGTATAAACAAACTTACTACCTGCCATCACATACAATTTTATATATATGATACTTGATAATGACAGTATTGGCTTATATATTTATTGTGCTTTTTGGTATTTTTCAGTGCACTCCCTCTATTTATTAAAAAAGTTTTCTGTAAAGAATATGCTGCCATTTTATTCTGGCATCAGTCTCATATAGCTCGTATCTGTCTACTGTGTCTCTTGTTTGCATTAAGAAGCCACATTAAGGGCTGGGGATTTAGCTCAGTAGTATAAGTACCTTCCTGGCAAGTGAAAGGTCATGAGTTCAAACCCTGGTATCAAAAAAAAAAAGTAACCAAGAAGCCACATTAAGGGATTAACCTATACTATTTAGGTTTGTGTAAGTGTTCCCTATGATGTTCACAAATGTACACAAATTCATTTACCCGCATTTACCTTCACTGTTCACGCATGAGCTTACATTCAAAAAAGCACCAGAACAAGAGGAAAAGCAATAGCATTAGAGTAAGCCAAAGGACGGGGAATAAATACAAGCAGGATGGTAGCTGAATCATTTTGATACAGTCACATAGAAAACCCTAAAGATCATTCTATTAGCGTTCATGAACAACTAAACAAGAAAGAACCAAAGATACCTGAATGAGGAAATGAATGAAAAGTATCTCCAGAGACCACAAAAAGACTTTCTTTTTTCTCCTTTTCAAAGCGAGTGGTCATTTCTTCCTGAGATGTTTCTTCATCTTCTCTGTCTTCTTGAAGCCTCTTCATCCTTTCCATTAAGGCTTCTAACTCACTCAGAGAATCCACAATCTGGAATTACATAAGGTAATGCTGGGTGTTACTAATATTAAAAACTGATTCAGAGACTGGGCAGGGTGGCACATGCTTGTAATTCCAGCACTTAGGAAGCTAAGGCAGGAGGTTGCTGTGAGTTCAAAGCCAGCCTGGGCTACAAAGTGAGTTCAAGGCCAGCCTGAACTGCATACAGTAAAACTTTGTCTAAAAAAGACCTCCCCCCAAATTGTTTAACTAAATACCTCTCTAAATGTTACCTTATCACATCAATGACCAGGGCTTAATAACTGAAGTTCTCATGTGAGATGTTGGTCTAATTTTATATCATTAGAATTAGATAAATAAATAAATAAATAAATATATATATATATATATATATATATATATATATATATATTGTACCAGGAATCAAATTCAGGACCTTGCTTGCCAGGCAAACGCTGTGACATTGAGCTAAATTCGCAGCCTAAATAAAAATACTTTTTAAAAAATATGACTAAATTAGGAAAATATATGAGGCAATAAAGTAAGTAAGATTTTTAGGGGCCAAGAATTGGGTAGAAGATGGTGGGGGGCAGGGGAGAAGTGGTATAGACTACTAATTGTTGTAGAGTTTCTTTTTTACATGACACGATGCCCTCAACTTATTGTGGTGATGGTTTCACAGCTCTGTGATCATACTAAGAATTACTGAATTGCACATTTTAAATAGATGAACTGAATGATATATGAATTATTTCCGTAAAGCTGATTTTTTAAAAAAAAATGTTCTTAAGTGAGTTTTTCACTAACTCCAAAAGGGAAAATGTTATAAGCACATAGATAGCTAGACAGATTGCTAGAATTCTAACACCTGATATATGTTAAACTATAATTTACTAAAAATTTAGGTGGTTTCATATTTTCTACTTTCTGCCCTCCTAAGATATATTTTCCACTAGTTATTCCAACATCTTAGAGACACTGATATATTGCTTTGAGATTTGCTACACAAAGAGTTCAACATTAAAAGACATCAATGTTTAATATTTATGGTTTATAATAATATCTATTGACTTTAAAAGTCTCTTTAAGACAAATCAGAACTATAGGTATAGGTTACATTTTTACAGCAACAAAAATCATGCAAAGTATTTCAAGTGTATAATATCCTATCTAGTCAGAAAGTCAATTCTCTCTAGACACACTGAGAAGTTTAAACAAAAATAATACAATGGTTATGAAAACTAACCCCAAAGTTGTTGCCTGCAAGGGATGCATTTTCTATGTTGTTGTCATTGGCAAGATCACAAACGCAGAAATTGTTGACTGATACTATCCTGAATCCATTGGAGATTTCTGGATCTCTCTCTGGGTTAATGCCACTACCAAAAACAAAGCTTGCCAAAGCATGATAATGTGCCAGTAGGACCACAGCGTGCACTAGTTCAGGCAAAGACCAATTGTTTTCTCCAGTTTTGACAAGTTTCTGAAATGAGAAAGCAAATGAAAGTATATATAAAACCACGAGAAGCTACAAAGCAAGTTTGAGAAGAATGAACAATCAATAATATTTCATATACAAATTCTATTGTCATTAAATGCTTTTAACATGTTTCACATGTTAAAGATACAGCTTTGTTAAATAATGTTACATTAACACTATCAAATATAACAATATAATTATGTTGTGGCTTCTTCCAAATCCCTTATTGTACATGGATCTTCTGCTTTCAAAGCAGTTCTATAAATTATGCTATTTTAATGATTCTTCAGAAAATCAAACAACATTAAAGCTAGAAAGGACTTTAAAGATTTTCTAGCAAAGCCACTGTTTTTAAGGTGCTTTGGAAAGTATGTCCCACAAAATCACATGAAAATGCAATTAGCAAGTCAGCATTTAGTTATTCATGATAAATCCTCTAATAAAGACCCCACAAGAGATGACAAAAACTATCGAATACTGTCTCATATTAGAATAAGAATATAAAAGGTTTCAAAGTACTTTCCATATGATTTTACCCAGTCCTCCAGATGAACGATGTAATTGTAAATAAAACCACCACTAATAGTAATTCTTCCTCCCCCCATTTTTCCAAGGGTGAATTCTCTCAATAAATCAACCCACGATTCTTCATGTGCTCACTTGCATGTTTTCTTTGCTTCTTTTGTGAGGTTGTGTGTGTGTGTGTGTGTGTGTGTGTGTGTGTGTGCAGTCTCTTTTTGTTTTTCCTTCTCATTTGGCTCAACTGATGCTAAACAAAAACACAACTACTTTCTTTTGCTTTATTGTATTATTTCACAACATACATGCATACACACAAGATAATAGTGCTAAAGTTCAAGGAAAAGAAATGGGAAAAATAAATTCCATCACACTAATAAAACTTTTAGATTTTAATTACAATATAGTTATAGTCATATACATCTATTTTTCTGCTTTTCAAACTTGTTATTTTGACATATCCACTCTTTATGAGCATGCAATCAATGTCTTGTTATTTTTTAAGCATAGGCTTGTATTATGCATCAGTGGATACACACAACTTTTTATCTGTTCCCATGGTAGTCATCAAATTGCTTGTTTTTTTTGTTTTGTTTTGCTTTGCTTTAGTACTACAATGAACTGCTTATTTATGCTACAATTTTGTTTGTATTTTAGAAACATTTTCTAATAAAATTTTAGGGCAAAATGCATTACTATCATTTTTGGCAATACTGGCAAACAAACTTTCCAGAGGACTGGTAGAATTTATAATTCATTTATCAATTTTTGCAGAGTTATCATTAAACCAAAAAAAAAAAAAAAAAGCCAAAACTCAGCAACTTCCATATTCTTCTCTACTCTTTAAATTCATTCTAATCTGGTTTCTTTTTCCAATAAACTTCAAACGTTGCATTCACCGAAGTTACACATGACCTTCAAATGGCCAAGGCTATTTTAGTCCTCATCCTATGTGATCTCTGCAGAGTTTAGCCATTCAGTATTTCTCTTCTTGAAATTAATCTCCCTTGATGTCAACAACTCTCCTTTTTTTTTTTGAACCATTTTTATCCTGAGGGGGGTCTTTGCTAACATCCTATCCTAACCACAGTCTTCCTTCCTAGTGCAGCACTGAAGACCTAGACGGCTGATTCATTCTTTCAACTTGAATTTAGCTCATCCCTACATAACTATCTGGTTTTATTTCTAATCCACCATTTACCTTGAGCTACAGACCTGTGTTTGCTTTGGTAACCAGACATCACTCTGTGGATGTCACAGCCTTCTGGTCTCAGGTCTACACATGCTTCATATGAAGAAGGAAACCTTAGAGCCACCTCTTTCTCCTCCTCACATCCCATCAATCAGCAAATCTTGCTTATTCAGATGCAGAATAATTATTACAGTGTTATCTTTCCTCTTTATCTTATCATGTTTTTTAAAAAATTTCTAAGATGCAGTACTATGACTTGTCTACTTTTAGTCTATGCTATTTGTAATTTGTCTTCTGTACCAACTAAATAAGTATATACTTCTTTTGGCACAAAAATCTTTAATGATCTCAATTCTGTATTACAATTCTCTCCAAAGTATCTTGGCCATATATATATCAAAACAGTAACAACTGGGGGACCCAATCCCTAATATTAGGTAGTATATTTATTACTAAATTAGTATGTACTTATAAAATATATTTTATACAGATTAAATATATACTGTAAAAATAATATACACAAACAAACAAATTTTAAAAGATGGGTTAAGTGTATAACATGTACCCATTTTCTAATACTTTGAAGGATTGTCTCATAAGTCTGAGGTCCCATATGATAACTATGGCTTTCTGAGGATAAAATATAAACTGTAATAGTGCATCCACTGGGTCATAAAATATGACTCCAATTCTCCCTACTTCCCATCTCTGCCTTATATAAATACACCTACACTTTAGTAACTGTGAGCTATTAACTATCCTTTCATCATACAATAACATTTCACACACTCTTCTAGGAAATGCCCTACTCCACTTGAAAATTCCCATTTATTCTTCAAGAACTAGCTCAAATGTTACTTCTTCTAAGAAACCTTCTAATTCTATTCTCTTTACTCACACACTACTATGCTTTGATTATTGTCATTATCTCCTGCCTCTCTGGCCATAGATGCTAAGCACATCCAAGGCCAAGATCTTTATCTTCTTAGCCCAACAAAGTATCTAGAACAAATTAATAAGATATAACATGAAACTAGAACATAAAGCTTAGGACACCATTGTGCATCACAGGTTTCCAGGAAGACCACCAAAATCTAAGAGTACACGGACTGACAAGCTATATTTGGTTAAACAACTGGCCCAAAACATAAAAATCTAAAAAAGATTAAAAAGGACATTTCTAACACATTAGACACAGAGTTTTAAGAAGGCATTTAATGATAAAATATTTTAACTGTTAGATCCTATGTATTAAACAGTTACTGTGTGCCAAACATAGTACTAAGCAAAGGCATGATGATATCCCCCTGGAAGCCTTTGATGGGAGCTCCTCTTGAAATGCAAGAGCTCTCAGTCACAACACTACCTCTCATCTAGAGGCTAGTTTCTAAAAGCATTTTAGAAAACACCAAACATTTTTTACTTGCAAAGTCACATTTTGTGAATCTTAAAATTATGAAATGTTAGAACTAGAAAGGAGTTTATAATTCGATTTAGACTCTCACTTTACAGAGAGAGAAAGTGAGACCTGTAGAAATTAAAAGCACAAATTGGTACAAATTTAGAAGCATCTTACCGGTAATCTTAGTGTAATCTCTTTGTTCTACCTACTGTTTGAAAATAGAAAGCAACTTTTCTCACAGCCACTGATCAAATTACTCATATAAGCTAATTAGTGATTATATAAGAAAGATAAGTATTTGTACTTAAACCTACTGATTTTCTAAATTTATCTTCACTATGCATATTAGTCTTTTCTATTTTTCAATTTTCTAATATGCAAGTGTATAAAATCAAGTGTTAGAAAATACTTAACTCACAATCATTAACTTAATATGTCCTTTCTATTTCAAACAAACAGTACCTGAATGTGCTCTTTCGTGATCAGCCAGGGTCGGTGTGCTAGCAGCTTATTTATTTCATTAAGATTTTTCAGTCTTTGAGGGACGTATTCCAAACCATTCAACCACTCGGCAATACCTCCAGTCTTCAAAAACTCATCCACATGCATGTTTATTAGGTAAGAACACTGATGTCTAGCTGCAGCCTAAAGCACAGAGGAAAGAATTTATTGATAAATAGAATCATAGAATCTCATTCCACTAGTATAAACTGGTGATTTAGATGGAGTTAATTCACTGATTGTTCATTGGTTTGAAACAGGGTCTTGCTACACACAGCCAGAGCTGGTCTCAAACCTGCCATTATTTCTACCTTCGCATCCCAAGCAGCTAGCTGGATTATAGTGGTGCGTGATGATGCCTGGAAACAATTTTTACAGTCAATCACTCTTTTCTTATAGAATCATCCTCCTCTGAAAATGTTCATGATACTGTTTCAATAATTCTTGAGGCAATACAGAAAGCTGGTATGTAGTTGTAAAACCAAGTAACTGTCACATGAACGTAATTACTTCTTCACCCACAAATTGGTATAGATTAACCTAAAGCCACTTTCTAGCTGTTTTCAGAGAATACATATTCATTTCATTATGGTAAATGTGTACTGTATTCTACTTAAAACTCAATAACAACTCATAAACTTGTATTCTAACAGTTTAGAATCCATGTTAATTTTGCAGTTATTCTCTTTAAGATGACTCTGATACTAGTCATGTATCTCATTATCCTACTCTGATGGCTCTGTAGCCCACTACACAGAAACAGCCTCAGCGCAGACCACTCAGCAACAAGCAGTCTTTTGATCCCTCCCCCAGGGCTGCTTCCTAATAAAACAATACTGTTTTATTCTTTCTATTCTCTATATCTTGGCTTTCTCTCAGTTTGTGAAAGCATTGTAAATCTGCTTTTAGTGTAATTATTATCAAAACTTTAAGCTACAATTATAGTCTTAGTCAAGTTCATTATTCAATTAAACAGAATGCTGCTTTTTGTTGTTTTATAAAAGTTCAATCTACTAAATCCTGGCCTGCTCTGATGTTTGGCCTGCCCAGGCGTCACCCTAGCCTTCCTGATAGCAGCACTCACATCACATTCTTGTTTTGCCCATATTACCAGTCAAACTTTAGCACTGTTTTTACCTTTTCTTTTCTGCTTTTATTACATAAATAATTTTTGGGATACTACTTTCAGCATTATAAAGATCTTTAATCATGATGGAGTAAATACACAATGGTATTTTACTAGATATTAAATAAAAGACATAAAAGTACATTAAGTGGTTTAAAGCCCTCCAAATGTGTTCAAGGTAGTAAAAAAGGTCACAGCTTCAATTCTTCAGTCAGTGAAATTATAGGTGAGGTGCGCGTGCGCGTGCACACTCATGCACACACACTTTTGATGGAGAAATAATAAGTGGAGATGTTACATGAAAATAGAAGAAAGCAGAGAAACGAGCTCCTACCATTATCGCGATGTAGTGCCTATATGGTAGAGGAAGGGGACCATCCATGCGCAACATGTAAAACTGGCTCCGCAAGAAAGACTCCAGGTACTGAGTGTGTAAACTCATAACCTGCGTTATATTGTCCAGACGACCCGAAGTGGAGTATTCTTCCACGAGAAAGTTTGTACGTTCATCCACTGTGTTTGCTTGAACAACCTTATAACCAAGAAACGCAAAACAAAGTGGCTACTATTGTGATGTACATGCATCCTTGGTTCACATGAATTTTTCCATTACTGAAGCAAATGAATATTCATTTGATACTAACACTGAAATTATGCAGTTGCTCATACTAGTAACAGAAATTTTTTAAAAAGTACCATTCAATTTTGGCTCTGCTACTAGAGTTTATTAAACAACAAATGTTAGATTATTAAACACTAAACATGCAGCTATAAAACTGAAGAAAAGAAGCTCCCATCTGTTCAGCTGGGCATATTAGGCAGATTTTTCAGAGCCAGTGTCTGGCCATTGCCACACCAGTTTGTAGTTAGGCAAAAGAAGCAGCATTTGATTACACACATTTATAATTTAATCTCATCAGCTTGTAAAGATAATCACATTATGTTTAGACAAATATTTTCATCATGATCCTTTGTGAGTTTTCATTATAAAACATTTTACAAAAGCTTTCTTAAGTGATCTGTAGGAAAGCTTTAATTGAAAAATTAATAATGATGAAAGAATACCATCATTCCTAATTTGAGCCTATCATATGAATTACTAAAAACAAGGTAAGTTAGAATGGATCTCCTCCATCCTAGGGAATCAAAAGAGCTTTCTCAAAAATAAATTATTTGTATGTAGTTTTATACACACTGACAGGATTTTTTTGGGTCTTTTTGAGACAGCGTCTCACTATACAATACAGGTTGGCTTTGAACTCACTTTGTAGACCAGGCTGGCCTCAAACTCACAGCAATCTCCTGCCTCAGTTTCCCAACTGCTGGGATCACAAGTGTGTACCACTATGCCCTGCCTCCACTGGGCATCATGACAAGAATTGGTTCTGAAGGTATCAAGAGCTTACACCTTGCAGAAGAACCCAATTCTGGGTATAGTTGATGGATATTTAAAGCATAATTCTACTACTGGATTACTATTTATTTGTATTTGAGAATTATACTTCTAGACTTAAAACAAATATATTTCTTATTTCAGTGATAAACATTCTAGATTAATTCATACAACCTACTTAATGGCAAAGTCTAGTTTAAAATCTAAATTTCTAAAAGTCTAAAGTAATGGTCTTTCTGAGAATTCATGCTATTATTAAGAAACTTCATTTATTCTTCAAAGTGGGCTTCATAGGATTTTTTCCTGAAAAATAACTATAAATTAGAGAAAGGCATTATTGACTAAGGAAAATTTAATCCTGGATAAAATATTTGAAAAGTATAAACTGTGAAGAAATATTAACTATTGGTTTAAGAGGCAACTTCATTTCACCTCATTACAGAGCCATGTATACTTTCATTTGCTCATTTTTCCCAATTATTTAAACTTTAGGGATCAAAATGATAGTTAAAAATGGAATAAAATCCAGATGAATCAAATAGAATTAGGGATAGAATATTTGCTGTTTTTAATTTCCTTTCTCCAGCAAAAATTTCTTATGTCTAATTGGATATCTAAGATTAGATGCAACTGATCTAATCTTCGGTATTCAATAAATTTTATCTTTAAACCTATACTGTGAAAGTGTGCTTTAAGAAGTCTTTTATATGTATGAGACAATCATTCCACCAAGAAAAGTCCCTGGCCTATGAGGGAAGTGGGCATTCTACACAGCAGCTTTTCTAACACGTGTCCACCGACAGATAAGCTGTTGTCACCGAGCTCTGTAACATTACTTTCACTCTGGATTTTCACTCAGTAAGAAAGTCACTAAAAAGGTGATATTAGGAAAAAGAACTGCTGACTCTGGCAATGATCTAGTATTACTTTAACTCTATTAGTCTCTTCTAAGACAAAGCTGAGCACAATAGCCTCTATAAATCTTTGTTGACTGATTTCAGAACAATATCAGAGTAATCCTAGTGCTTTAAGGTAAATGATGTCTATCTAGTCAATGTATATATGGTAACTATATTCAACAGGCATTCATACCTCCTTGAAGCAGAAAAACTCCTCAGTTAGTTGTTTTTAAACTCTTTTTAGCCCACATCCAAGAGGCATCTAGTACTCTAAAGATGTGCTCATTGCTGTCATGTTTATTATACTTCAACAAATTTTGTTCAAATCTTGTTTGACTATAATTTCCTACATGTCATTTATAAACTTTCTTGCGTTTACCATGAGCTCAGTGGCACTGCACTGAGCTCTTTTTATTTTTGGATGGTTTTTCCAAGTTGCTAAATTGCTCAGACCGGATTTTACTTGGGATCTTCCTGCCTCCCAAAGCACTGTGCCAGGTGTGCACAGCAGAGCCCGGCTAGTTGCATTTATCTTCCTAATTCTCCAGCCTCAATACTGCTGCATGTACTGGACATGTGGTGACATCCTGTCCAATAAAATACTTGGGAGACAATGAAAAGGGAATTTCTGTAACATAATATTATATTTTAATTTAAAGGTTTAATTAATGAATTCATTTTTCCTTTCAAAATATCTTAACATTTATATAACCTATAGTCATCACCAAACATAACTTTTAAAAACTGAAAACCTTCAGATTAAGCTTTATTACTTTTAGCTACTTTTTTCAGAAATTATATTTGAAATAGAATATGGTTAAACTTGCATTTTTTCAACTTTTAGTACTACTTAACTATTGATAAGAAGACATTTACATTTCTAAGTGAAGCTGAAAAGAAAATCCTTTTGTTTTTGTCTGATATATGAATAAGAAACTCAAGACTAAGATATTTTACCTCTTTTACAAGTGCAGATGTTTTTGATATAATTAATTTTTAAAAGTCATACTTTATATACTTAAGACAGATAAACTTACTTCCTTCTCTGGAATAAAGGCACTTGGTCCTCTTGTCAAGGGCTGAGATACTCTGATTCTTTTATCCTGTTTTTTAAAAAGAAAGTTATATCTTGATGATGAATTTCTAAGAAAAGTTAATTGATATGCATTATTGCTAAGGTATTAAATAATCAAACAAAATAAGTAGTTACGTTAAAGTTCAATAGGTTTTGGGTTCAATCAAAGAAAGTCCACAGGCCATTTGGTGGATTAGATAATAGAACAAATTCCTAACATAATGCTGGTCCATGGTAAAGGTTCTGAATATCATTTCCCTCATTCATATTTTACATCACCATATTTAACATGACTGAAAACCATTAACTTATATATTAAAGTCATATCTGATAGTATAGCATACTGTTAGATATTAATTTTGAAGCTAAATGAAAGTTTTACTGAAAGAGGATTACATGCAACTTTCAAAAGCAGTGATTTGACTTGTGGGTATTTCTGAATAAAAAAAAGCAATAAGAATATTAATAGAAACTTCTTAAATTTTAAGAAAACTACAAAAGAGCAAGGTATGGATTAACTGAATTTAAGAAATGGAGAATACAGTCGAGTAATTCTATTTGTTTCACTTGTTATTCTATTACTATTAATAATTATCAAATGATATGCCTGAGTGCTAGATTAGTTTTAAGCTTTAAAATTATTAAATTTTTAAAACTGAAAACATTTTGCTGTTTTATTTAAGCATCACCATATATAAATCATGAACATTCCAGTTAGAGCACTGCGACTCTTCCCCATCATCATATTTAGAAGCAGGAATAGTCAGTGAGAGGCACTCATGAGAGACAGAGAAAATAGCCATTTCATTTTACGTAATAAAATTAATATTCTAACGTTCTGAAGTGGAAAAACGTCTGAATCCATAAAATATGGACAATGCCATGGTTTACAAAAGTTATACAAACTCAGCGGGAAAACTGAGGCACATGTCTATTTGACAGGGCACATTAAACTTTACATGCTACCAAACCTTCCCGAGAAAACTTCTAAACTGAGAAAATAGCCCAGGTGGTTATCTGAAAATGGCAGTATCTTTTACATCACTCTTCTTGGTACAGCTGACGAGGTTAAGATTCCAACCAGTAAAAACAGATGCCGCTATGTAGCCTACGGGTACCTTGATGAAAAGTTCTGCCTACCCAGAGCTGAAGATACTAAGCTAGACAGTAAGTTTCACTCAGGACTATCTACAAGAGTTATGTGAAAGTAATGCCATCTGACAGGAAGAGCAGAAAACACCCCTCAAAAGCAGAGGCATACAGGAATAATGAAGAGTTCCATGTCAACATCAACAGATTGCTTCTAATAGAGAAAACCACCAGAGTTTCTATGGACTCTTAGAAAAAGTAAAAGTGAAACATGACCCCCTACCCATAAGTAGGGAACTTGAGGGGTTTTGTTGTTGTTCCTTATAATCAGAGAATCTACAAAATACAAAATTTTTATTTAAATCCTTACTTCATTAGGAAGCAGTTACAAAACAAACAGGCAGTCAGGCAATCAATAATGATTTTTTTTAAGTCTGATCAAATACTGATTAATCTATCAGTATGTGACAGACTTTGGCTACAGGCTAAGGAAAGCAGACTTGGTCGTGGCCTTCATTACTCTACTAGCTTTTTCTACAGGCTTTTTTAAAAATCAGTTTTCATAGTTGTAACGAAATAAATATACAATGACAACTTTAAACTCAAGTTTCACAAAGCATTAATTATCTAGGTCATATTTATAAGGTAGTGACAATTAGGTCTTAATCCACTGTCATGGGTCCTAGAGAATTCATGTAAATGGATTAACTCAGTATTTCTAATATTGGTGTTTCTTGCCCATCTCAAAATACTCTAGATTTATCTAGAAAAAAAGAATTTAAAAGCGATAAACAGATTTCCCCCTTTTGCCTTCCTCTGTAAGTTATAGACAATAAAATTTCAAACGCTTTCCACATAACTTAATGAAACACAATTTCCTGGTGACTCATTGTTTCAAGTGAACAAAGCATTGGAAAAACTGATTCTGGGGAAGAAGCACAGGTTTATGAAGAAAAATGTCTATATGAGAGAGATCTGTTTTTTTTTTTTTAAATGAGTTGATACATTATTAACTGAATTTACCTTTAGATACTTGAAATTGTTTAGACTATAAAACTATGTTCTGGAAAAGGAGATATTTAAATCTGAAATACATTTTCACTATAAATGTAAGTACAAACTATCACATTTAGATGAACATAACAACTCTTAGTTTTTAAGCAATGGATGAGAGAAATTGAAATATTTTCATTTCTGTCAATATTTAACAAACATATATTAAACATTTGCAATGTGTTAGTAGACAAATGACAGAAATTCACATAACTATAGCATATGATATACACCAGAGCAGATGTATACACAAAGTGATGTGGGAAAGATGTCATTTTAGCAATTATCATTTACTTTGTCATTTATGTACAGTCTTCACTATTATAAATAAAGTGATGATGACCCCCACTCCCTTTTTGCAACAGGGTCTCACTGTAGCCCAGATTTGGCCTCAAACTCACAGCGATCCTCCTGCCCCAGGCTCCCCAGTGCTGGGATTACAGGTGTGCTACCACACCCAGCTGATGATGAATATTTTTGCCAAGATTTGAAGCACTCTTTGTGGTTGTCTTACTTTTCTTGTTGCTGAGACAAAATACCAGATGGCCCATCCCAAGTTAAAAGAGGAAAGGTTCATTGCAGCTCAGTTTATAGAGGTTTTTGGTCATAATTGATTGATTTCCAGGCAGAAATGCTTGCCTTGGTAGGATGGCAAGATACAGGGAAACTGCAGAGGAGAAACAGTTCATGGCAGGCAGCAGGCAGGAAGACAGAAAAGCAGCAGTTACAAGAAAGCAGCAGCAGCAGCAGCCTGTGTCTCTCTCATCCCTTCCAGGTGGTGTCACCTGCACCCACAGTGGGGCTTCCCATTATTTATACCCAGGACTATGCCAAACCCATCAGTGGACTAATTTAGTAACCACACTCCCTTAATCCCAGCATCACATACTTTAGATGCAGTCATGTCTGAAAAGGCCCACCTATGACTGCATGAAGTTTTGAGAGGGCATACCGATATGAGCCATCACAGTGGTATTTCAAACAGTTTCTTTAGGAAGATTCTCGGAAGTAGATTTACTGGGGACTAGGTAATAAATATTTTAAAATTTCTTGTTGCATACTGCAAATACATTAACAAAAATATTTTATCGCTCTTCTTCATTAGCTGAAAAATGTCCACCTAACCTGTAATTCCAAAAGTGAAAACCAACATCTAAAACTCTGATTGAACCTTTATTATATGCTAATACATAGTAATTATTCTTAAGCAGAGATGTGGATCAGATCTGTGTTTTTAAATAATACAGTTCGGGGAGGAATGTAGCCTGTGGATCCGAGAGGAAATCCAGCTGGGCAGCTGTGGTAAGAGTCTGGGATGGGAAGAGCTCAGGTCAGAGGCCCTGTGGCCTGCCTGAGAGAACTGTTTATTCACTGCACACAAAAGAAAGCTAACATCATGTTTAAGTTATATTATCATTATACTTTATTTTTTAAATGGCATCACCTTTGAAATGGTCAGTCTGGTTCCTAGTTCTTTGTAAGGAATGACTTTTTTGGTGACAAGTCCACAATCGTCACAATTGGCTGTCTTGAATGTTTATATAAAGGTGAAAAACAATTTAAAACTGATCAAAACAGCTCATAAATTCTCTAAACTCATTTTGTTCTGAGAAAAGTTTTGCTATCCCACTTTCTGTTGTGGTATGATTTTAGTAATATGCAAACAGTACAGCACAAAATCTAAATGACTTATTTTAAAAATCATTCTTGTCAAACCGTAATACCTTTCCTCAGCTTTTCTTTTAAATTCAAAATGCCTAAGCATGGGTTCCATTTGTTTATACTCTAGTGAACTTTGCTGAAGTCTCTAGGCCTGTGACTCTGTTGCCATCAGGCTAAGCCATGTGACTAAAAAATTTAACTTTAAAGTTAAAATACGCTTTTTTAAGCCACACTACTCACAGCTCAGGAGCTTGACAGGCATATCTACAATACAGGAGAGGGCTGATGTCTTCATTTGCAACTAGTACTACGCAGGACAGTGCTGCTGCTCTAGGTGCTCCTTTGGGCCTGTGTTCATTTTGTTTTAAGTCACATCATTAGCCATTTTTATGCTTTTTCTCAATGGTAAATTGTCTCTCTGCAGAGTTACTACCTTTGATGGTTACACCTTCTCAATCCCAGAACCAAACATTTTTGTGTAACTGCAGAAATGCACTCAACCAAATCAAGAGTAAACACACACAGGGCCAAATCAGGAGAGGAAAAACCAATCAGTTAGTTCCAGAGATGCTTATACTTGGTCTCAATCTCTGCTCATACTATAATCTATAGAAAACTATCAGGTCTGGCTTTTTTTTTTTCTTTTTCTTCCTTTCTTTCCTCTTCCCTTCCCTTCCCTTCCCTTCCCTTCCCTTCCCCTTCCCTTCCTTTTTCCCTTTCCTTTCCCCACCTGTTTCTATAAAAGCATGTAACATGAGGTAACATACCTTCTTAGATAAGTGTACAATATACTGTTACCTATAAACACTGTATTATACACAGATCTCTACAATGTTTTCATCTTGCATATCTGAAACTTTAAACCCACTGAACAGCAACCACCTCTTTCCCCTAACCACAGCCTGAGGACCACCATTCTACTTTATGCTTTTTATGTAAGCATACTCTTCACTTTATAGCTGAGATTCCAGCCTTCTCATTCCTACACAATTAGGTCTACCTCTTCCTGGGAAATTCTCCTCTTAACTCAGCTTTTACACAAGCCACTCAAGCTATTAACTTTTGTTCACTTAATTTTACACTCTTCGTAAATGTTCCTCACATCCGTTTCTTCATAATATCATCTAAAGTGAACGTTCTCTTTCATAGTTTTCATGTTTACATAAACAAAATGTCCTTAAAATAAATGACACCATATTAGAGTAGGATGGTCAAGCTGGTGAG